ATCTGGGGACAAGGCAGCATCTGTCTCAGGCCTGTGCACATGAAACAGGCGGGACTCTAGGGTGTTGTGAGGATGAAGTGAGACAGATGTGGAGGCCCATATGAAGGGGCCAAGTAATATTTATTTCCATTTCTTCCTTTTGTTTTCTTCCCTTTTCCCCTTTAGACCAGGGCCAGGTACAAGCAAGCCTGTGACAGTCAGGATTCCACTCACTTCAGTTCTATTAGATCAGTGTATCCTGAGTGCTTGCTGCCTGCCCAAGGACCAGGGGACTGGGGCTTCAACGAGGATGACCTGAGAATTTTGTATCAGGGCTGCCCGTAGGACAGGCATGAGGCTGGCGAGTTTCACAGCGTTGTGGTATGGCTTTTGGCCATGTTATGGAGGGGTGTGTGTGTGTGTGTGGGCATTTGAACACGATCCCCTGCTTTAGATCCTTGCTGAGGTGTGTCCCCTCCTCTACTGGCCAGTGTCAGGGGAGCATGAAGGAAGATGCTGAAAAGCAAGGAAACGGCCTGTAGCAGTTCAGTGAGCCCCCCCTCTCCTTGACCTTCAGGCTGCTTGGGCTGCCCTCACCACCCACTTAAGCCAGGACCAATCAATATAGGTGATGAGGTGATGAGATGGGCCAAGGCGTCTTCAGATGAATGCACTTTCTGTCTTTGTCCTTCAGTCCCATCTTTATTTATCCCATTAATGATGCTGACATTGGTGATTCCTAACCTTGATTGTCAGCAGTACCTTGTAAAGACTTAATAAAAGTTTATCAAACTGAATGAATGACAGGATGATGGACAATATTTGGGAGGCGTATGGACCGCTCCATCGCTCCTCATTCCTTGTAACCTCGCCCACATCTAGTCTCACAGCTCTGATGCTCTGAATAATGGAAGCAACTAAATGTTTCTTTGCTAATCTCACAAGTTCTTCAAGGCTTTGTTTCAGGGCCAACCTATGAACATCAGTTATCCTTGAACTGTGCTAAAGATGGAGGAAGGGGTAGGAAACTAGATCAAAGCAGCGAATCAATCAGAATAGAGCATGGATGTGTTTTTTAGGAAACAAATCCCTGAAGTATTTTCAAACACTTTTGCATTGATTAAGTAATGTTTTGTTTATTTCATGTGAATATTCCTTTTATAGCCTTTTTCCTATCTAACTTGGAGATAGAGAGATAGAGTGAGAGGGAGAGCAGGAAGGAGAGAGAGGTTAAGAGAGATCACCTGACACGTAGATCAGGTGAGTATTGGGGAAAGAAAAATCCCAGCTCAGGGCAGCCCCAGCAGAATGGGTCACACAGAACTCTCAAGCTTGAGCCGAAACTGTAGTTCAGACAGAGGCAGATTTTCTCTTCCCCCAAAACTTCAGTTCTGCTCAAAGCTTTTCAACTGATTGAGTCAGGCCCACCCAGCTTATCCTGTTAATGCCACAGAGGGTAACAAAAGATCCAGGGTTTCCCTAGAGCTGATCTCCCATCCATGGGGATGCTAGATCTCAACTTCTCTGTAGGGGATTCTCTAGACATGGTTTTGCAGACACACAATTTGGTGTCCACTGAGTAGCACTTCTCAGTTATTTGCTCTATTCCCTCCATCTTATTGACAGTGATTCTTCCAGAGTTTGAATGAAAATCATCTGTGGTGTCTTTGAAGGAAAGTATGCTGTTCTTGCAAAGCTTCTGGCATTGCCCTTATTCATGAGGCATTTAGAAAATTTCAGTGAAGCTGTGGTGCATATCTTATCCCTCTAAATTTGCACCTCCAGCCTAGACCTTTTGTCAAACTACAGGCCCACATTAACAACATCTGTATGTCTTCATGTGCTTCTCCATAGTAACTTCACACTCAACACACCCACAAATGAAGTCACTGGCTCTCTCCCAACTCCTTCACTGGAGGGAACTATCAGCTTATCGTCACCTCAGCCTTAAACATGGCTTCATTTGGGGCTTCTTCACCCTCCTCTCCTTCCATATAAAGTCATTGCCAACTTTGTAGAGTCTAGCTCTGAACATACCTAGATAGGACCTGTCATCTCCATCCTCCCTGATTCTGGCTCAGTCAAGTCTTTCAGCATCTCTCTCCTTGGCTATACACCTCCTTCTCTCCACCATCCATGTACTTAACTTTCCTAACACAAAATATTTCCACAACTCTGTTTTCATAGGATGGTGGCCCGGTTTGATCTGTAACTCTGGATCGCTTGTTCTTCTCAAGTACATATAAATAGTGCCTTTGTTGCTGCCATGTTTTTCCCTTTGATTAGAATACCCTTCCTGTGTTCCACTCACTAGTCTACTCTACTTCCTGCCCATCAGTCAGCACCAATCAGGCCTGCTTGGCCAAACCCTCCCCCCTTTCAAGTTCTGACTCAAATGTAGCTTCATCCTGAAAAGCTTACTTAACCATGTCTTTTTCTTCCTTCATCTTGAAGATTTGGCCACCCTCAGAATCAACCATATATGAATATGTTTTCATTGTAAAAGTTAAAAATAATCTGAATTCAACCAAAAGTTTTACTCACTTTAGCTTTCCTCATCCCACTCCCATTCTTGTTATCATATCTCCATGGATCATTCCAGACTGTTTTTACATAAAAATTTATATTGAAAATGTCTTATGTGAGTGTATGTATATATATCACCCCATCTTTTCTCTGGTTGTAACAATGACTCCTATGACAGTAAGTTATTTCGGAATACGGGAGTATTATAGACTAGTTAACTCTTCTGCTATTGATGGTTACCCACCCGTCCCCCAATATTTTGCAATAACAGTGCCACAATGAATTACATTTGATATGCCTCTTTGCATGTAAACACCATGTGTTTCTTTTCTTTAGAGATGCCTAAAAGTAGGAGTTTGGATAGAAGGTGTATCTTTTTGATTCTACATATTCTATATGCATTTTTATGTTTGGTAGGTTTTCCCCCCCTTTTTTCTCATGCACTGGTAAGAATTCTTTATATATTTTGAATAATCCATGAATTTGTATATTTTGAATAATTTTTTAAAAAATATTTATTCATCTATACCCACAAAAACTGGAGTATAGGCCAGAGTTGGGGGGGAGGGGTGGCAGTGAGAGGATTCTCCAGAGACAGAGTGGGGAGCAGAACAGGCAGATGTACTGAAATACATTGCTTGAGGGGAGCAGCTGGCAGGTAAGGATAGGTCTGCCTCACCATGTGGGTCACCTCCCTGGCCGGGGATAAAACTTGTGCTACAGTGGTGGCAGATAGCTTCATAGTGCTAGGCTTTTACCCATTTTGCCACCAGGGAGGGCCCAATATTTTGAATGATCTGTATCTGAAACACACATAGTTACACACAGAAAATGTGTATCTTTTTTTCCAGGTTCATATTATTAAATTTTACTTCCTGTGTTTTTTGTTATAATAAACTTCATAGTTTAGGTAGTCAGCATTATCAGTTTTCATTTTTGGCTTGTGTCTTTTTCAGGATGACTGCCTATATAGCAAGGTTATTTGCATTTTTTTTTGTTATATGGTAGTATTTTTTTTTTTGCATTTAGCTCTTTAAATATGTGACATTTTTCATATATTAGAGTATTAGCTATTTTTTTTCTTTTTCAAAATTTGGAAGTAAATTGGTTCACATTCACACTAGGTATTGAGTAATATCCATTCACTCTTTAAATCAAATTGAAATTCAATTTTTTTATGAACTAAATTTCCAAATGTTCATGGATCTTTTGCTGTACTTTGTAGATTTTATTGATCTCTGTTTATTTTCTTGGTCAGTATTACACTGTCTTATTACAATAGCTTTATCACATGCTTTGTTGTCTCATAAAAAGTTAATTTTTTTAGTTGTCTTCTAGTAGGTATTTGATGGATGAGAATGATGATGGATGGGAATGAGTCATATATGTCTTTGAATTTGACATCCACATGTCATCCATGTGTGTGATGACACACTGAGTGATGCAGATGAATAAACTCAGAAGCACAAGTCCTATTTGTATTTTCAAGGTCTCAAAAATCTCAGTGAAAAGTAACAACTTTTCTAGTGTTTACTCTATCTCCTGTTGTAGCTCAGTACTTGTGATACATTTTTCAAAGCAATCTTATCCTTTGTTTTTGAAATAATAAAGCACGTAGTATACAGAACGCCAAAGATTCAAAACTAAAAAGTTAATTTACTCCATTTTTTAAGAGACAGTCATACAATCAATTTCTTCTTTAGCTTTCCAAAGGGAGCACATCATCCATTATGCTCCGTTCATTTCTGTTTTTTATTTAATTATATAGGTTGGAAGTCATTCTTCCATTATCCATTTATTCATAGTCCAGATTCCAGGATGACCATTATCTATGATGCTGTTTCATGAGATAGCTGTTCCAGGTTTTATTTAGCCAGGATGTTAGATAAAATTGTTTTACCAAATACCTTCAATGCCATTATACTCCAAAATATCTAGAATAAAAATTGTGCATGTGAAATTGGTGGGGGGAAAGTTATTTAAAGTTTCAGTTTTGCATTAATTCAAAAGGACAACTGCACCCCTATGTTCATTGCTGTACTATTTACAATAGCGAAGATGTGGAATCAACACAGAAATGCCCAAAAATAGATGATTGGCTCAAGAATAGGTGGTGTATATACACAACAGAATATTACTCAGCAATCAAAAAGAGATAAACTCATGTCATTTGCGGCAACATGGATGAAGTGAAATAAACCAGAAGGAAAAAGAAAAATACTGGATGGTTTCACTCATAGCAGGAGTGTAAGGGATCAGAAAAAAAAGAAAAAGGCAATTGTAATAAAGTAAAAAACAAACACCAACAAACAACCATAAACCAGAGTCATTCTACAGGGGTAGAGAGGGAAACAGGATCAAAACTGGGGTGGGAAGAGCACACTGGACTATGGTGATGGCACATGGGGGAATTGGTGGTGGGAAGTCTACAGGGATTACAACCCAAATGAAAAAATGTACAAAATGAAGAATGATGTGTGTACACACACACACAGATCATTCAGTTTTGATTTATAAAGATATTGCCTTCCACTAAATTTTTAGTATAAAGACTCTACTGGCTCTTTCTACCAGGTTTCAAACCTGCTCAGACATCATGCACCAAGAACCAGAGGACACTGCAGAAGCTGTAGCTGGAATCTGGACTATGACTGGATGTGCATGCATGTGTGTACTTATGTGCACACTCATGACTACATATGTGATTCCACATGGTAAGAAGTTCAAGAAAGAACCATGGCCATTAATTAATAAGAGTCCTATCTCAAGCTATAATAATGAGTGGAAGCATTAGTAGTTTGAAGAAAATAAAAGCCCTTTGCCTTTATTAATCATTAGACACTGGCAGTAAATAATAGGTTTGAATTTCACAGTCCTGATGCTTCTATTCAAAGCACAGAGTGTTTCTTAAGATCATAAATTACTGTCCTTCACAGCGGGAACATAAAGAGAATTTGGATTCTGAATTGCTAACTGAGATCCAGCCTCTGTTTTGGTCTTGGCTGTTTCAGAGGGAAGGAGGCTGGTAATCGCAGCTGGAAGCTGGGTACTATCTTACAGGTTGAGGTGGGCACAATTTTCTCATCTATTGTCTCTACATAGCTGGGGTAGTGGCTGGTCCAGGTTATAGTCTCACATTCTTCTGGTTAGTAATGGTTTGTAATGATCAACTGGAAAGACATTTTTTTCCTAAGCAGGAGGAAGGCTTTACCTGGGGGCAAGGGGACTATTTTTGCTATGTCCTTTTAGTGATTTACTGCTTGTTTAGATTCTGTGCTTTCCCATCTTTGCCCACCTCATTTCAATCTTGTATGTCATATTTCTCTGTCTTCTCTCTACTCCTACCCCCAACTAATACTTGTCTGTTTTGGGGAGATCTTCTCTTCCCCAGGATGTCTTTCTCTACACAAAAGGAAAGAAAGAAACACCAAGCCCTCAACTTTTCCTTTCATGGTAAAGGCAGGAATAAGATGAATTCTTATCTTCTGCTTTTCTTTTCTTTCCTTTTTTTCTTGGGTATCTTCTGCTCCTATTTTAAAACACTTTGTGATTTCTGGTCACCTGCTGTGTGAAAGGAGGAGGTCATTCCTTTCTTTTTGACTTAATTTTCCCTCTGTCTCTGGCACATCTTCCCAGCCCAGTGCCATTCTTTTCATTCCCTCAGTGACTTGTTGTGTCAGCCCTATGCCTGTTTCTAGGCCACAGGACCTTTGCATCTCACTTATATAAATTTACAGTGACAGCTTTTCCTGACCTTTTGAGTACAGGGCTTAGAACTGCCAGTCAGCACAGACAGGGGATTCCATCAATAGAGCATAGTGCAACAGTCATACTTTATAACAAAATTTTATTATCATTAGGTCAAATTAGAAAACTTCATGCTTTATCACTTGCCATATTTACCTGGAATAACCAGATTATACACAGCTGAGTAGAAAACATTTTGTGCCCTGGACTTTACTATTTAAAAAGCAAGAAAATGGGTGGGTGTGGCAGTGTTAATGGTTAAGGTTTAAGGCCAAATAACTGGTCAGCAAAGCACATGTTACTTCCAAGCTTTAGGCCTGAGGAAGATGTCTTTCCTCCCTCCCTCAGAAGCAGACTCATTATAGCCTGGCACCTGACACTAAAGTCTGCTCTTTGGAGTTTTATATTAACAGCTGCATTTCCAGAGAAGCTAGCTTGAGGTATTTTTATGGCTTCAAAGGCACAGGTCATGCACTGAATTAAAAGCAATTGTGTCGGTCTTCCCAATGAGGGCTCATGGCACCATGCCTTATGTGGAGTAGTCCGGAAGCTCCTCCAGGCCTCCAGGCAATGTAGGCATCGAATGGCAGCTCTGCTCCTCTGCTCCTGCTCCGCCAGTCAGCTGGGAGTGTTGGAATTGGAAGACAGGTTTGTGTTCCTGCACCATCTCCTGGCATGTGGAGAGCAACTTATGCTGTGGAATCTTATTACTCAAGGTCCAGACGGGAGTAGCCACATAGGCAAGAAGTGACTCAGATGCAAGCAAGGGCAGGGAGTTTCACTCTTTAGGTCAAATGTGGTATGGGGAAAAAAACAAAGCAGCTTTCCTTGGACGTGGTCCTACCAGGCTAGGAACTGGCATAGCATTTCGTGCAGGGCCCAGCTGTAACCAGTCCCTTCATGCCACCAGAGAGCAACTTGGAAAGGATGCCAAGAATAACAGTGGAGCCCAGCATCAGGGGAGGCCATTCACAGCAGTAGCCAGAGCTTAGCTGCCACCAGTCCTGGGATCACTCTGAGACAAGAAGTCGGAATCTGGATCCTGAAGTGTAAAATTTATCACTGAATAACTGGATATTCCTTTCATTTAGGAGCAACATGTTTACACTCAGAGACTCTGTTTCTTTTTCAGTGCTCCCTAATGGAGGGAACGAAATCCAAAATCTTAGTGAAGGGCTAGAGAGTCAGGTACAGAGAAGAAAGACTGCAGACTGATATCAGCACATGTGTTTTATCCTCCAGCAGCTGGACTGCTGACTTCCCCCCTCCCCTCCTCCGCCCCCACCCCACCCAATTCATTAATAAAAATGACTGGTGTCAAAAACTCCAATTCAATTGCATAATACAGAGGGAGGATAATAAATTCTCATTTCTTCAGGCACCAGAGGATACATGTGACAAGGTTTTGATTCCTTCCAATTTATGCTCTTAATATACTGTCCAGCCTCCCCCACACTGCCTCATCAGCGTGCCGTGTATTCCTCAGTGAGCCTTGCATCAGTTGCGATTACATCTGCAATGTTCATGCCCATTAATTCAGCTGGGATTGGCTCAGAGTTTGCTCAAGCTTGAGATCATAGCCTCCGAGGCCCAGATCCCCCTCATAAATGTTTTCTTTGCTCGGAGTCTGAGGCGAAGTTTTCTGGTGGAGATCTAGCCTGACAGGAGGGCTGCCGGGTGAGGTTGCCTGCTCTTGGTAATTCATGGCCAGCTCATCCTGATTCACAATGCATTCCACATCGTCCTCTTTCAGCTGTTCCTGGATTTTGGAAAAAGTGAGAGTCATATTTTGGTGAGGAGGCAAGAACTATAGTCCCACAGTGTAAGAAAATAAATACCCTATCTTACCTTTGCTGAAGCTCCCGCTATAGCAGAAGCCAGCTTGTCCATCTCCATGGGGTGGTAGTGCATTTTGTGCGTAGATGTTGACACCATGGGAGAGCTATAAGGAGCCTTTAGGGCTTAGGTGAGAGTGAGCATAGAACATGTGCTAAGTGCCTGCCTCCTTGGGTTAAAGGAGCTTAAATAAAACTCAGTGAATTTCTGTAGTTGGCTTGAGAGCACTTAGCAGAGTGACCTTAAGGAACGGGAAGATTCTCAATGTTGGTTTTATAACACTTCTGCCATCACAAACTTCTTTTACAAATTGCAGGAATCACAAAATTCTCAAGACACAATTCCTGTGATATTTTCTTTGGGAAGTGTGTACTCACAACATGCTTCTTGGGATAAGCATTAGAAGACTAAATCACCGAGTAGACAATGGCAGAAACAAACTAGAATTGGCCGATATAGTTTTCTCTTAAAGGAAAGAATTAAGATTGCAACTCTTCTTCCAGTGGCTTTGAGAAGGACATATAAAATTACTTGTAAAGTGAGCACCGCCACCTTAGGTGACCTTACCAACGTCGACTTTAGCCTGTACTGGAATCACTTGAGGGTCTTTTATTACTTTATTTATTTGTTTTAAAAAATTTACCTTATTTGCTTATGCACATAAGAGCCACAAATGTTGGCTCCAAGTTCAGCATGTCTGAGAAGGACTTGGCAGTTTGTATTTCTAGCAAGTTCAAGTTCAATGATGCTGAAGCTGCTGGTCTAGGTAGGTAGGGACCACAATTTGAGAGCCACTACCGTAGGCTGTTTGTGCTGTTTCTTTTTTTGTTTTTCCTGTTGATGGAAAGGTGTGGCCAATTGGGCCATCTGAAAGGGTGTCTCAAATGCCAAGGTTCTGCTCGTTTCCAATCCCTGACACTGTGGTCTGCTGGAAATGACTCTACAATTTTTATTTCACTTCCCAGAGTGGTAAAGGATAGGCCTAATATTCCAAACCTCAAAACACATGAATTCTTTCACATTTTCTAAATTCATTTTATGGTTAAAAAATATTGGTAACAATAACAAATTGAGTTTTAAATAGATGAATGAGCCAACATCAGCAACAAATGAAAGAAGAGAAATGCTTTTTGGTGCAGTGAATTTAAAAAAATGCTTCCTGGAAAGTAACCAGCCGAAATTCTAGGTCATCAATATTCACCCAGCCTGCCCCACAAGAGACATTTACTTACCCCATAGGCCTGAGGACTGGTGAGCAGCCTAGAAATTGGACCACACCATTCAGGTAATGTTGTGGTCAGCGGAGGGCCGGAATGGGTTAAAATAGGTTTCAGGTATCTGCAAGGCCTGTTAAGGAATACTTGCCAAAAGGGAGTTAAGATTGATTTTCTCACCCAGCACAAACCCTTGCATACAGCGGAAGAGATAGTTACTTTCACCTTTAAATCCTCTCCTCCCTCATTTGGAGGCAATTTGGCCTGCAAAATCTGCTGCTTATAATCTCTGCTCAATACACTTTTCCAGTCCTGCCGAAAGCCTTTACTCAGGAATAAATGGCGAATGGACCAGCCAACCTCAGAGAGAAGAGTAAATGTGCCTCTCCCCCCTTACCCCCCAGTTAATGTCTCATCTGCTTAGAGTAAGCATTCTTAAAATTATCTTAAACAATAGCATAGAAGATTGTTTCCTTAAAACTGCACACACAGCTTAAACCACCAATAATTTTCACAAAGAAGCAAGAGGTATTTCATAAATTGTTCAGTTATTTTAGAGCTCGGTAGTGAACATAGATTGTTTTCCAAAGTACTTTATTTTCACTATTCAACACAGTCACTTAATACTTTATACATCAATGCATCTATACAAAATTATGTAAATAAGTGGGTGCCAGGTTTATTCTATTGTCTAGCACCTGTCTTTCTCATCTCTTCATCTCAAAGTGTTCTAAAAAGTTACAAGAAAAACCTGTTCATCTAAAGCCATTATGTTTCCCTCAATCTATCAATAATGAAATCCCCAGAGACTGCCTCAGCTGACTGCCTTCTCCCCCTCCCCCCTTTTTTTCCCCTCAAAGTAAAGTGGTGGAATTATTTTACCATCCCACCAGAAACAACTTTTAAGCTTTACATTATTTCCTCTGCTGGAGAATATTTCACCTCATCAACTTTCTGAGAAGCTATAATAAATAGGGAAGGGGAAGAAATGGATAGCTGTTTGCACTGGCTGGCTTGAGAGGCTCAGCAGTGCTGCTGGATGTCCAGGGTGAAGAAGATCTTGGAGTTGGCTGTAGGGAGGGGACAGCGCCGCTCTGTCATTCCTGCCCTGTCTTGTTCCTATGGGGAATGGTACAGGCCTGAATTCTCTGGGTGACACTGGGCTTAAATCATTCACCCCCAAAATAGTGACAAAGCAGAGATGCTCTTGAACACTGCCTAGTGGCAGTGTGAACAGAGTAACATGACCCATGCTTAAAGGTGGCTGCTATCAGCAGAATTTCATCCTATTTTTATAGCTGAGTGGTTGGCCATTGTGTTTATGTACATGCCACATCTCCTTTACCTCATCATCTGTCACGGGCACTTCAAACAAAGGCTATTGAAATAATGCTAAGATGAACACAGGCTGCATATATCTCTTTGATTACATGTTTTTGTATTCTTCAGGAAATGCCCAGAAGTGGGATAACTGGAATTTCCATGGGTGGAACTAGAGAGTATTATACTTATTTAAATAAGTCAGGCAGAGGAAGGCAAGCACTTTATGATTTCATTCATCTGCAGTACACAAAGAAACAAGACAAATGAATGAGCAATATAATAAAAATGTTTACACTAAAGACAGGATTACTGGTTACTAGAAGGAAAGGAGGAAGGCAGGTAAGTTGGGTAAAGGACAGATTTAGACTTTTAGCGAACATACTCTACACGAATATTGAGGTGCACCTGAGACCTAAAAAGTTAAAAGAAAAACCTGTTCATCTAAAGCCATTATGTTTAGCCATAATGTGATGCTATATCAACACTTCCTTTTTTTAAAGAGAGGGTCTGTAGTTACAGCTGCAAATGGAAATCTCAGCTCCTCCTTCAGAGGGGGAGCTGTTATGCTTGGTTAAGGACCAGCAAAGATACTTAAGTCCGAGTCTCCTATTCCCTGAAACATGCTGTAGTGTATCTGCAGCCCTGGAAGGCCCTTGATGATCTCCATTAATTTTCATTACAGAGTGCTAGTTCCTTCATTTTATGGATGAAGGAATTGAGGCCAAGAGACAGAATGATTTTAAATAAGCAGAAAGCTCCTTTTGCTATTTGAATCCACTGCCATGGTCGCTTGTAGGAGATAATTGGTCAGGGCAGAATCACATGACACGGGCTGGTTCTCTAGAGAGAAAGGCTGTGGGACCTCCTGCTGGTCAGCTGAGAGGCTGGTGATGCAGGCAGGTGCATGTGGTCTTCTTAGCGTTCAGGGCCTGATAGGTCAATGAAAACTTTATTTTTATTTTTGGAGTGGTGAGCTGAACAAGCTATATATATTATTAGAATGTATATCAAGGAAAATATTTTTTTTTCCCAGATAGAAAAGTGACAGCAAGTAAGTGATACTTTTAGAGAATCATTAAAAAAAAAAAAAAAAAGAAAGAAAGGTTTGTGAAGGGCTTAAGAGTTTAAGAGGCCTGGGCAACTTTTACTGTTTGAGGATTTCAGTATAATGAAAAATGAATGCATAAACAATGTTAAAAAAATTTAGAATTATAATGGACATTTTCTCTTTTAATTTTCTTTTACTTTCTATAAAACACTATTGGAGCTAATATTTAATGTCTAAATTTGTAACTATTTGTGAATATGAATTCTAACTAGCCACCCCTGAACAGGCTCTGAAAGTTTTGATTTAGAACAGACCTAGGTATAGCCACTGTAGATACCAAGAACACTTATCAAGCTCTTTACCCCACGGAGCCTCCAGTGTTGTTATGAATTGCAACCAAAATAACAGGAGAAGGGGTCTTAAACTCTTAGGTGTAAAGATGGAAAGCAGTAAACGTTCCTTTGCAAAGAAATGTGTGACTGGGGAAGCAGCTAATGTCAGAAGTGACCCTTAATAAATCATATATTGCTGATTTTATTCTTATTTATAAATATAAAGTATTTTGTAAATACTTTCTGGAGAACCTGATGTCTTGATCACTACTCAAATAACGTTGGGGCAGGGTTGAGAGGATGAGTCTTGGCATTTGTTGCAATGCTGGAATTCACAGCCATCTTCAGGGGATGGGAGATTTAAGCTGCTCCAAGAAGGACCCTTTGGATTAAAAATCATATCAGGAGCAAACATGAGGTGGTAGGTGAGAGAAAAGGAGAATCTGTTGACTTAAGACAATTCTAGGAAGCTCGTAGCACCATTTTGGAGGTTCCCATATCTCAGTAGCTATGAGCTGAAGAGCTGAGGTGTATACCCTATGTGGCCCTGAATGGAATAAGTAAAGAACTGTGAACATTTCGATGCACGATGGACTATATTGGTAGACTATGGGTAATTTGATGGTGTGTCTTACAATGGCGATACCCAATGGAAGGTTGCTGATGTTATCTCAATTAAGAGAATATATAAGTAAATTACATCAAAAAGAAAACATGCATAGTCCTATTTAAATGAGATCAGGAGGTAGAAAGAGAGTGTTCATGCAGTCAAATCAGCAAACTACTGGCCCTAACATACTTGGAATTTCCCAGGGGGGTGATGCTGCTTTTCCCTCTTATGGAACTGAGGGGGTGGGCCTCCAGAGGTTACTAATGAGGTTGTGAACCTCAAAGAGTTTAATTATGTAAAGGATTTGGGGAAGTGCATCATGGGTCTCACTAAGGACACACTCACTAGCCTGCCCTCTCATCAGGCATTTGTTTCCATATAAATCCATTTTGTTGATGGGAACAACTGATTGTTTTAGTTTTACGTCAATAGCACTGTCCACAGCCACAGCAGAGGTGGAGCAGAGTCCATGCTCTCCAACATCTTGCCCTATTTGCCATATGTCATGTGTTCAGAATTTACCATATATTTTGTATTTGATGGATATGAGCTGAATTCTTGATATAGGAGCATTACTCAATCATTCATTCATTTAATTTTTCATACACCCACATATTTTTTTGTTCTCATGTAGCAAACCAGTGAGGGATAGGCACCCAGATAAACTAACATGACATCAGAGAATGGAAAGTTTCCTTCCTTTGTCTCTAGACGAGGGTTCCTTGTCCATTGCTGTTTCCTTCACCTGGGTACAGTGCTTGGTTTATTTGGGATATTCAAGGAGCAGTTGTTGAATTAATGAAGACAACAGGCTCCATGAGGATAATGGAAATCGTTCAGCGGAAACCACCAGTTAGTTAACGGCAGAGCTGGGCCTGAGACTAGAAACATTTCTATCACATGGGGCTGCTTCCTTCTGTTAGAGTGCCAGAGTCACAGGTCTTGTGTGATTGGATAACTGTTTTGGAATTGGGGTACCAGTGACTTTCTGAGTCTTCATTGCTAAGCAATATTTGGAAAGGGACTGGATCTCCAGAGTTGCCACGCTTATTAAAAAGTACAGAAATTCTTGTTCTACAAAACCCCAAACTGCTGATTTTTCACAAAATGTGTTTTTTTTTTTTCTCCTCCATCAGGTTCTAGTATATGTTCAGAGAGGGAGATTCCCCACTGGGTATTTTTTGGTATAGCTAGTTTTGTTTCTCTAATAAGATAGGAATGCATTCAGATAAAATGTTATCCTCTGGGGGTACAACATATGGTTTTTCTTGTCTTTAAAGGGCATTAGTTTGGGGATAGCAGTTTGGTTCAGAAGATGTAAGTAAAAGTTGGAACTCTACCCAGAATTTAATATGCATGAAATAGAAAGACAATAAGCAGATGCATTTTCTCCTTTGGCCCAAGAAGATCCAGAGTGAAATTTAGTGCTTAAGTAAACTGACATGAAAAATATCTTATAACGGCCCTCCCTGGTGGCGCAGCGGGTTAAAGCACAGCACTGAGAATCTAAAGCCGCTTCTGCATGAGTTTGATTCCCGCCTGCCCCGGAGGTGACCACATGGCGTGGCAGACCTCTCTTGGCCCGCCCGCTGCTCCCTTCAGCAGTGTACTTCGTCGATCTGCCTGTTCTGCTCCCCACTCTGTCTCTGGTGAAGCCTCTCACCACCCCTGAGCCTCTGGCCTGTACCCCAGTTCTGTATGTACAAATAAATAAATCTTTAAAAAAAATATCTTATAACATTGATCTCTCTCTTGTTAATTTTGTTTTGGTTATTCTAAATCCTCGTGTTTGTACCTTATAAATGGCCAAA